CATAGCAACCTTACAGAATTTCAGTGAAGGAGAAAGAAGGGAAAAACACCTTATTACTTCTAACTCCTGCGAGCCATTTTGGTCTCCAAAGGTTTTAGACTGCCTCAGGCCATGTGTCTGCAGTGTTTCGGGAAATGACTTGCCTTCGCACGAACACTGCTATGTTCTGCAGCACTGCTGCCCCCCAGCATCCCCGCTCAATTTCTATTTAACTCTTCCTTACCTGTATCAGCCTTTTTCCCCCTTTTCTGCAGCAAGATTTCAGAAGGGTTTTGCTTAAAAAAGAGAAAAACACACACAAAGCCACAAACCAAAACCCCTCTTGCTTTTCCTGACAACTTTTCTTAGAAGCAAACAGGACCAGAATTTATAAATCCTTGAGAGAAAACAGAAATCAATTCTAAACTAAAATATATGGAATCAAAACTATTTTAGCTGGCAATCATCATGGAGCTTTGAAGTCTGATATTGTTCAAATGTTTGTCTGGTTTACCCCAGTTAACAGCAAATAGGTAGACAACAAAAAATCATCAATATACCCATAAAAACAATGGCACTACTAAAATCCTTCACCTATCAGTGTATTTAGATTTTTAATTACATTCTCAGCACCACATTACAGATTATGATTAAGTCCTTCGATAAGGCCTCAAAACTATTAACTGTTTTGTCTTAGCAGCAGTGTATCAGAATAGGAAATAACCTATCTAATATAGAAGGAAAGAGAAAGACTTAATCCTCCCTATATTTTTTTAAACTCACTTAGAGATGTTTTGTGCTTCCCTCTGTTTTCTGTAAAGATTCAAGGCAATGCACTGTGAGCTATTTTGCTTGATAGCTTTTTTAAAAACTTCTCCAAAATTCTTAGCCAAGGTCACTACTGATTGACTCAAAATATGATGGTGTATGAGGCTACTAAAATATTCTGTTCATCTCAGAGGTTTAGTTAAGCAGCTCTAACTAACAGGAAAATCAATATAATACTTCACAGTGAGGAAGAAAATGGAAGTATAGCAGTTAAGTGGTTAATGCAATTCCTAAGTGTTCAGCAATCATTGCAATTTAGTGCCATTTCGATTATTACACAATAAACAGACCATGTTGTCTGGAAGCAAATTTTTATGAGTATAGCTGAAGGGGTTGCAACTTATTTAGCTGCTGAAACTCTAAGGGAAAGAACATTTCTGAATGCTAACACTACAGATCAGAAATATACAGGTACACTAGAAAGGTTATTTTTAGGTCACTACTATGGTAACTAACCACACTGACCTTTAAAATTAGTATGCAGTTCAAGAAAAATGAAGTTCAGTAAAATGTTCTTTAAACAGGATCACTTTAATAAACAATATTGCACATCCTTACAGAACAATGTTGTCACTTTTTACAGCTATTAAATTTACTTCTGTATCGCAGCATCATAATATAATGTATAAGGATATCATGATGTAGAACTGACTAGGAAAAAACATGCAAACACCCAGAAAATTGTTAAACTATTATTAATTTATGTTCAAAGAACTGGAAAAAAAAAAAAAAAAAGAATAGCTGTATTTATTTTTGCCATTTATTTCACAAAACAAAATTGATAGCTGGAGATGGTCAGTTTTTCATATTATGTGAAGTCATGGAAACATTCGTAACTGGAATACCTAAAATCAACCTACTTTGTATCATTTTGTTGAAATACAGAATTTTAAGTGGATTTCAAAAGCAAATCTAGTTCTGCAATTTATACATTCAAACACGAATAAGTGAGAGTGGTGTTCAGGACAGATGAGACAAATAGCTTGAAATTAAAAGTGTATGGTTAATGCCGCACGGACTCAATAAACAACATTGTGAACAGAGTACCATTAGTGCCAATGTACTAATGTTTACTTAGACTAAACATCAATTAGAATCATGGTTTTAATAAATAATATATTATGTGTCAGTCCATTAGGTAAGAAATGGAAATCAAATTTTGGCTGGTCATAAAGGTGTGCTGCTGGCAGTTCAACAAAACCACCATTACTGAGAATATATTAACAAGTAGTATGCTGAAACTTGGAACGATCCAATTACCCTGTCAACTTAGAATCATCAAACACAGAACACAAGTGCTCTAATTTCATTGACATTAGTCTCAGACATATTTGAAACAGTTTATAATGCTATATCAAATGGCTGATTGTAAACCAGATATATACTTAGAAAATATTATATATACACACACACATACATGTCTAAGTGTGTGCATACAGGAAAATACACAAGCATTTCAGTAGAGGTTATATTATAGACCTTTTTTCAAACTGCAGCTCTTTCAGAAGAACAAAAAATGAATTTTAAAAAGGGAAAATTATACCTGTATTTTCCAAGACTCAATATGCTTCTGAGTAACACTGCTCCTGAAGTGACTTTTAAATGGCTGGATCACAATTTCTATGAAAAAGGGGAAAAAAAAATCTCTACAGCTACTGGGATTCTGGGTCACCAGTACATTTTTCCTGTGATCCCTGAATACTGTATTATACCTACACTTCTTTGTTCGTCACAGGCAGGATAGATGGATGCTGGTCAATCAGTAACTATATCAAACTTTAAGCCCCATCTAAAAATGAGCTCTGTTACAATATATGCCCTACAAAGACACAGCAAGAACAGGCACAATTAGCAGTCTGGAAAAAAAAAAAGAAAAGGATGATAAGCTGTTCTGATGTCTCTACAACCAGGGAACCTCAGTACAGCCATAGGAGTGAGCTGGTCCACTTCCCAGGGCCACCCAGGAAACTCATGGCAAGTGGATACAAAACTGTGTCAAGGACTATAAACATGGATAAAAGAACTAATCTTACACATGCTGGATTGAATGTTAATGTAAATGTTTTCCAGGTTAAAAATGAAATTGAGAAAGCACAGAAATATGCATCTAATCTGTCCATGTTTTTAATCATGCACCCAAGGCAAGCTGATTCCTCTCCAATGGTGCTGATGGAGCTACACTAGCAGCCACACTCCCTGACATTGTTTTTTCTTTCTAATAGTTACAATACCTTTTCTTACTAAAATAAAAAATGAAGCAGTCTATAAACATGTAGTGACATGGCAACGGGATCTTGTTTCCAAAAATGTAACACATAATCCTAAACTTCACTTTTCTGAAAATTTAAGACCCGCTGGTTAGCCTCCCCCTCTCTGTGCGGTAATTCTGCTGATAGTAAATAATCAAAATTGTCATTTTTTGAAAGCCAACCAAGTCTCTAAGCATTCTTCTTGACATCTTTTCAGCCAAGATTGCTTTTAGCTGTTGGCCACTGAATGAGCTTATTTAAGGAATGGAAGGTTGCAAGTGTGCCAGCCACATGAGCATGCTAAGCAGAAAGGGAACAAGCTAACACAACAGGTAGAATGCCTATATGGAAAAGATTTCCCCCAAATAAGTCTCTCATCAGCAAAGACCACCGGCAAAGACATTTTTTCTGCTGTACTGCATATGCTGCAATCTCCAGATTTATGTTAAAAGAGATCCAGGTTCTGACAGGTTATTTTTCATTTTGCTACCTGACTGGTATGTACACAAACCCAAATTTCAGTTAAAACAAAACAAAACAAAACAAATACTCATGTACGTAGTCATTTAGAAGTAAGGTTCTACCAATATCACATTTTCCAGTCTGACATAAGAGAAACATGAAGCAAAAATAATTACTGTCTGACTCTAGAAGAAACAATGGTGATTAACTACACAGATTTAGCTTTAAAATACAGATTTCACTGCAATACCATCACCACATACAAGTATCCAGCTTTAAAAAGAGGTTGCTAATTCAAACGAGACAGTGGAGGGAGGGTTTGGGTGCATAAACATATATTCTTTTCATCTATTTAGTCTGCAAATCTACTTAAAATACAATAAAATGAGGCAGCTCTAAAGACAGAAATATAAGACTGTCAAATGAACAAACTTTTTCACTCTGCAGTTTTTATTTTATTATTAGATACTATTCCTAACTTGTTAAAATTGATCAAATAGAAAGCTGTGAATAGAGAAAAAATTAAGCCAACTAGAAAAGTGTGACTTGGATTTAATATTTTATAATTGCCAAGGGACATACTGAGATCAATGAATTTTTGCCCGAGATGAACGTCAGAAAGAGATGTACTTCAGTCTTTTAGGGAACATTGGTCTATTTAATTCTTGTGTCTGATGCATGTGAAATATGCCTGTCTTGGCCTTCTTTCTTGCCTTAAGGCCATGCTGAAGGCAGACATTACCACTTTTAATAGGCCGCCATCTGAGGAATGGCAAGGGATCCAATAACCCATCGACTCTAATGGATTTGCCTGTTTATTCACTTACACCTTTTTTGCAGCTAATTTTAGTTTTGCATGCTGAGTTGTTTCACTTTAAATTAAATGAATAGAAACAAAGGGGAAAAGACTGTGCAGCTAATAAACCATGATTATTTTCGAAGTTCTTCACAACAGGATTCTCCATATACTAAGGTATATCACTTGAGAACAGATTCACTGCTGCGATTTCCACTTGTTGTCAGCATTAACAAAGCTTCTTTTAAATTTAGTGAGACAAAAAGTAGGTTATTATAAACTCTTGCTTACAATGTACTAATGATTTGCAGCAGTCTAAAGTATCCAGATTCAAATCATTATGAAGGCTGTGAGCATCTTCAAAGAATAATACAGGTAAAGTGAAAGACTGTACAGTATTATCACCAACAAAAATAGCATACAGTTTAACCCTTCACCCCTTTGCGGATCATATGTATCACCTCATGCACTACTTTCAAACCAGAGACCCTCTAGATACAAAGGAACTCTGAGTAGTAAAAATTTTCACTGCATTTGATCCTTAGGAAAAATATACATCACAGGCTAAAACTTATTAGGGGATGTAATCTCTGTATTAATATTTCGTTACTCTACAGAAAAGTTCTTCCTCCTTTTCGTTGGGATAGCCTCTTGCACATCACCCTCCACAGCTTTCTGGTCTACTGTTCATTAACCTCTTTCCAGACCCATCCCTTCGGGTGTTTTGATTTTCTCAGGAAGGCTGAAAAGAAATTACTCAGGGTCTATACCTGCAAGTCTGAGCTTCTGCTTCCGGTAACACCTTTTTTGTAACAGCCTTTGTTACAAAGAAGCCTCTTATCCAAATCTGGTTGAATCTCACGGTCCCCAGAGCTCCCCAGTCTCCATCAGTTAGGAGAGCAGTGGATAACGACCAGGTGTCAC